CTATCTATCTATCTATCTATCTATCTATCTATCTATCTATCTATCTATCTATCTATCTATCTATCTATCTATCTATCTATCTATCTTCCATATCTCGGTCTATCCCTGTCCATCATCTGTACCTCTGTGTGTCTCTCTATCTAGCCACACACAATACATACATACAAACTCCACCCATGCCACATAGTTGCAGTTCATTAGAAATTCTGATACCAATCAGTAATATCTAGCAGCATTCAGTATTCGGTTTATTTTATTTGATGCTTTATAGATTCATTAAAAAGTAACGAAAGATTCAATTTCTTGAATTAATTCATACCAACGTCTACATTTGCGTTTTCAGTTCCTTTCGGAAATTGATAGTCACTTACACGTAATTTATAATAAAAATAATAATAATCTTTTCATTCCAAACGCATCAGTGCCCTGTTTTGGGATTATTATTTTTTTAATAAAAATTGTCACGGGTAAGAGTATTATTGGTCCAAGGTTTCCTTGATTTTAATTAGGCTCATTTGAGACTCTTCATCATTAAGTTCTTTTGGGAAATCAATGCTACTCGTAACAAAACGGATGATTTAAGTATCATTAATCTATCTACAGGGGGGGGAGGAGCAGCTGCTTGAGACAGGAGCCATAGAAAAGTACCAGAAGGCAGTGAAAATTTTTAACTCTTTGACAGGAATGAAAACATTATCTAAACTTGCTCCAAGAAAAACAAACAAAACCACTGAGGTCACCGACTGGTGGTTCACCAGAAAATTTTGGTGGTCCGCAGAAAAATTATTCACATTTTTTTATATTGCGCTAAATCAGGGGTCCTCAAACTACGGCCCCTGGGATGGATACGTGCAATGAACGTTTGTGTTGCTGCAGAGAATCTCCCCCATCGGGGTCTTTTTATGCAGGTTGGAGGGAGACAGAAATTCCGGCATGGGGTCTGCTTCAGCCTCCTGGTGGGGGGCTTTGGGCGAAGGGTGGAGGGAAGGACCACTGGTGGCAAAGAGCTGGAGGCCCCCGTTCCAGTGGGACTGCATCATGGCCTGGAACTGGCTGACCATCTCAGCCCGCTGAGCCTCCAGGCGCCGCTACCTGAACTCCCGCAGGTCTTCCCTCTGCTTGGAAAGCCTATGCTCCTAGTCCTCTGTGAGGTGCTTCTGTTGAGCCTCCTTCTCGGCCAGATCCAATTTGAACCGAGCTACTTTGCCAACTCTTTCTCCTGGGGGCTGCTTAGCTTTTCCTAAGGAGCCAGGATAGGCCGGAGAGGAGTGGCTGGGAGGGGAGGGGCAAGCAGAGGCCAGCGAGGCGCCCCTTGATGTGAGTGACATCAAATTGGCCACGCCCACCCAGTGACATGACCACCAAGCCACACCCACCCAGCCGGTCATTAGGCAGATCATAATAGTGATCCGTGGGATTTAAAATTATGAATGTAATGGTCCCTGAGGTCCGAAAGCTTGGTGACCCCCTGAGATAGTGTGTTGCAGTGAAGCTCTATAACCCAGAGATGTTTTCTGGTGCAAATTCC